GGCCAGGCATCCTGGGTTTAAATCCTGCTCTGGCTCAAAATGTATACAATACCTGAAGCCATGCAGTGAACACAGCAGGCACTTAATAAGTGCTCCTGAGATGATTACTTCACTGGATACTCCTCCCCCAGCCAGAAAAGGTGCCTCATTTTGCTAATGAGGGAATTGAGTGACCCTGGGCTCGCCTCCTGCCCGGCTGGGCCTCAACTTCCCCTTCTGTACAATGAAGGCAGGTACTAGAGAGCTATCAGGCCCCCATTCATTCATTCATTCATTCATTTGTTCAACATATTTATTGAGTGCTTGCTGGGTGCCAGGCCCTGTTCTAGGCCCCAGGGGCACAGCCAAGACCAAGGCAGATTCTGGCCCTGCCCTGGCAGAGATGACAGGAGGTAGGGATGGGGCCAGGGGAGAGGAATGGGAAAGAATAAGTAAATGGGTACAAGAAATTCTATTGGCAAAAAGTACAGCAAAGCAATCCAAACAGAGAAAAGGGAGTGACTATTTGGGAGTGATTATTTAGGTGGGGGATGTCAGGGGAGCATTTGAGCTGAGACCTGGAGTAGCCAGGGAAGGGGTCATTCAGAGAGCTGGAGGAAGAATGCCTCGATCAGGTGGAGGCAACAGCCAGTGCAAGGGCACTGAGGCTGGATGGTGTCTGACATGTTGGAGGAACAGTGAAGAGGGAGAAGTCCAATGTGCCTGAAGCAGAATGATGGGGGAGGGGCAAAAGGAGGTGGGGCTTGGGGAGGACCGGATAGGGGCACAGGACAGGGCCATGGCCTAGGCTCCTAGACACACCAAGACAGAATTACCAGATGCACCTTCCCCATGGCTGCCCTCTGCCTTCCAACCTAGATTCTGCCCATGTCCCCGAGATTTCTGGATAACAAGCATTTATTAAGTACCTATTGTGTGCTAGGTGCTGCTCTGGAATGGGGCTTCAGCAGGGAACACAATGATGCTGTAGGGGAGACAATAAACAATGGTTGTGAAAAATAGAATGAAGAAAACCAAAGCAAGGTAAAAAGATAGAAAGGGACAGCATGTTGCTGTAGGTGCAAGGTCAGGGTGGCCTCACTGTAGAGATGACATTTGAGCTGAGACTTGGAGGAGCAGAGGGGCCACATGGGGAGAACATTCCAGGCAGAGGACAGCAAGTGCAAAGGCCCTGGGGCAGTACAGGCTCAGTATAGAAACTACATATTCAGCAATACCATCAAGCCCTTAACAGCTATACCCCCACCATTTCAGAGTGGAGCCTCCTCCTCCTCCAGGAAGCCCCCCTGGATCCTCAGTGCTTCCAGATGAGAGTGGCACCCATTATGTGGCTGAAGAAGTAAGAGAGGGAGGATCTGTGCCGGGCTCAGAGGTGCCCAGGCAGAGGACAAGGAAGAGTCATCAAGACCCCACTCAAGTGAGTGACCCCAAGTCACTTGCCTTAAGAACCTTCCAAGCTAGGGGTTCCCTGAGCCCATGGAAATGATTAAAAGCATAGGGTTCAAATTCCAGCTTCACTTCCTGGCTATGTGAGTGGCCAAGCCATTTCTCTCTGGCCTCAGTTTCCACACTAAAAATGGGATAATAACAATAGCTATGCTCTAGAATCATGGGGCTATATACAGTAGATGCTCAATAAATGTTAGCTCATCATTATAAATATTACATGAACAATATGGGGCATTTTCTGGGTAGCAGGTCCAGAGGTGCTGCGTAGTCTCTGGAAAGGGCCACTCCCTCTATGGGCACCAGGTCTCCCAAATCCTCCAGGGGCCCCAGGAGTATCTTTGAATCTGAGAAAGAGTCCATGAGAGGAGCTCCCACCCTCCCCTGCGAGCAGCCAGAGGTCAAAGGGCAAGGGGCAGGGATGGGTCACGGCCATGCCCCCTACCCCCGCATGCGACACACACCCCTACCCCCAACCATGGGCTCTAGGCGGTTAGCTCTGCGGAGGGACCAGCTGGGCGGATTTAGCCAGCGCATCTGCCGCCGGAACAGCTGCCGTTCTAGGGGGGTTGGAGGGGGATTTGGGACGAGGGAAAAATCTGTCCGAGGAGAATCGCGTCTGCGCTGCCCAGCTGCCGGCTCAGACTAGGGGGACACCCCGAATCCTCCGGGACCCCGGGCCCCTCCCCTGCTAGGGCCGCCCCCACGTGCCTCTGGGGGAGGGGGCGTCGGGGAGGCCCTGACGTCACAGGCGGCCTCAGCCAATCGGAGCTGCCCTTTCCGAGCCCCCGGGGGATTCCCAGGCCCGAGCCGTGACCCGAGGTTCGACCCAGCAGCTACGACCCCCAGCCTGGGCTTAAAAGAGGGCCCGGACCTGACTGGAGAAACCTAGGCTGGGACCCTCCTGGAAGGGGGCGGGATCTTGTTGACCTCTCCGAGCCTCTGCCCATTGGCCTGTGTCCTGAGCGGCCCAGAGAGGGGCAGGGGCCGGCGAGAGTCACACAGCAGGGTGGCGAGGCAGGGAGCGCTGATGGGGAGTGCGCAGGCAGCGGGGCGGGGTTTTTCTTCCCCGCAGACTCCAGGCACCAGGACCAGACTTAGCCTCAGTCCATCCTGAGGGCTCCAAAGGCCTCTTGACCCACTCCAGGTCTCCCCGGGAGCCCTCGGACCCGGGGCCGCAGACCGGCCGCTCTGGGAAGAGGTGTTAGTGGCCGCGGGCATCCGCAAAACACGCACTGGATTCCTCCCGGGTCGGAGCTGGACGGGAGCGCAGCGCAGCTCAACCCTGCCTGAGAAACTGAGGACCAGAGGGGCGGGGCTCTGCTCAGAGTCACACAACTAGGAGGGTGCTGCTGGCGCTGGTGACCTCGGGCGAGGCCTTGCCCCTCCACGGGCCTGGGGCAAGCGGTGAACTTCCTGCCACCCTCCTCCAGGTCAAGGCTCAGACAGTCAGGAGCCCAGGGCAGGGGAGGGAGCAGCCCAGTCTGACCTTGCCTGGTCCAGGACATGAAAGACTCATTCATGGCTGCTGAGCCTGGGTGGCAGCTGAGCGTCCTGCAGGGGTGAGGCCTCTCTCAGGGCCTTTGTCTAAGCAGGTCCCTCTGCCTAGAATACCCTTCCCACCACCCCCTGCACCCCATGTGCTCTGCCAAATCTGTCTGTGGTCCTTCTATGGCCCCAAAATCACCTTGTGGTTCTCCTGAGCCCCCACGATGCTCTTCTCTATCTCAGCCAGTACTTATACCTTGAGTTCTGCCGCCAATCATTCTTCTGTCTCCCCTGCTAGACTGTGGGCAAGGAGACAGTTTGCCTTGTTGACTGCTCAGGCCAGGACTTGACACACAGTAGGTGCTCAATAAATGTCTGTTGAAGAAATAGGTTGCAGAGGAGCCCAGTTAGGGAAAGGCTGGAGGTGGGAGGGCATGCCAGGGGATGGGCCCTGAATGCATAATGGTGTGGAGGTGGGAGGCAAATACCAAGCTGAGGTGCTGGGACTTAGCCCCCTCTCGTCAGGCAGGCCTCAGTCTCTCCGGGGTGGGGGGTGGCACATGGGGTAGGGTCTGGACGAGGGCAGGTGCTGGCTGATTTGCCTGATGCTCTGGCTGGGCCGGAAAGTGTGTCAGAGAAAAACCACTGGCAGGAAGGCCTGGCTGCTGGCGGAGGTTTGTGGTTACCAGGACAGCCCCTGGGCAGATGCTGAGGGCCCTGGAAGAACCCGGTTGTCTCCATGGATGCCAGGGAGGCTGCAGGTGGCCCAGGACCCAGTGCGACTTGCAGAGCGGGGTTCAAGTTCTGACCTCCACGTCCCCACTGCGTGTGTGTGCCACTGGGAGGCCACACAGCCTGCCTGCGCTGCCGTACAGCTGGGGGCCATGGGTGGGACATAGCAGGCCAGTCACACATCACAGATGCTCACTAATCAGAGGCGAGAAGACGAATGCGAGCCAGTCGCCCTCTCTGTGCCTCAATTTCCCATCCGCAGGAGCCTCATGCAGCTGCCCTGAGGACTGAATGATGTGATTTATGTGTCAGCATAAGCACACAGTAAGTGTGCAAGAAATGTCAAGGAAATACATAACAGTTAAACGTTATCGAGCACCTCTGTTATACTGTATACTGGAGATGCCAGAGGGACCAGGACAGCATGCAGCTCAGCGGGGAGACATACACAGTCACCCACATGGGGAGGTGCTTTGGACAGAGAGGGGCTCCCGCTGTTCCAGCGTCATAGGGGCTAGGGAGGTTATGGGAGGTCTCTGAAACAGGAAAACCAATTTGTCTTGGAGTCCCACAGGTGGGGGCGGGGGGCAGGAGTGCGCCCCACTGGCTGAGGAGATGCTGCAGCCACCTAGGATCCTGCTTCAGGGTCAGGCCCCATCTGGCCTGACAAAAGGCAGCCTCTAGGGCTGGGTCCCATGGTCTATGCAGCCAGCCTGCTCTGTTCAAATCCCAGGTCTGCCGCTTTCTAACTGGGTGACCTTGGACAAGATGCCCCCCATGCCTCAGTTTCCTCGCATGTCTACTGAGTGCTGTTAAATATAATGGCTGTGGATTCAATAAATGACCTCATATGTGAAGAAGGCCATGTAGACCCCCGGGGTTCCTGCCGCTGCAGCATCCTTGTCATCCTCTCAGATCTGATGGGAGATGGATCCTGGGGCTGCGGGTCTGGCCAGAGTGAACCAGGGCAGTAAGTCGGGAAGGAGCGGCAATTAGGCCCTCCATCTGGACAAAAGCAGGGTGTCTTCTCTTGGGTTGCTCCTCCACCACCCCCATCCCCGCCCCAGCGGCTCCAGCCGCCCACCAGGCTCCGCCCTCCGTTCCGCGCCGCCTTCGCTCCGGGCCGGGTTTTGCGCGGCTCCGGCCCAGCTTGGTTGGGGGGGGTTGTCGAGGTGGGGGCGGAGGTGGCGGAGTCGCGAGTCGCAGCGGCGGCCGCGGCGGGCGGAGGAGATGCGGCCGCGGCGCGCCCCCGGTCC